TATATATATATATATATATATATATATATATATATATATATATATATATATATATATATACTTTCCTTTTTTATTCCATAAGCCAAATTATAGTGTGGGAAGATGCATTTTGCATTCTGTATTCATATGAATATAAATTAAGGTCACAATAATATCAACCATTATACTATATAATAAAGAATTTAAAAGTAGCATTTAGTTATAACACGAAGATATGCCCTTAGTCTGGTCTTTTTCAACATACAGTGGACACAAAGTTGAAAGGGGCGAAAGATATTTGGGTACATGTAAATTTGGAAAAAAAAGGTCAAGGTGAAGGAGACAGATTATCAGCACAAGGAAGCCAAAAGGAATAGTCACTGTGGAATTTGAACTGAAGCAAGACCATCAGGTTATGAAACTGTACAAGGCAATTTTTTCGATATATTTCAATTGATTTAATAATGATTTAAATTCTTTCGCTTAACAGATCGGCTATTGGTATAATCATTTCTTTGTAAATGAAAATTCGTGCAAGAAGTTAAGTCCAACAAAGAAGTGTATCTTTCAATTGTAATGTATTAGTTTTACTTTTGTTTATGAACTTTATTGTTAGAAATTTTGATCAAATTTTGTCTTTATTTGTAACGGAGGCTCATTTTATTCTTTTCTATATACCTGCTCAGCTCTCTATCTATTCCACCCGTATTTTTCTCAATCAATTTCTATTTATATTGCCGGGCAAATGATACCGTCGTCGATCACCTCTAGATAGCGATAACCAAACCCATAACACCCACCCCAACAAAGTTGAGAGGAGTTGTGTGTGTGTGTGTGTGTGTGTGTGTGTAATAATAATAATAATAATAATAATAATAATAATAATAATAATAATAATAATAATAATAATAATAATAATAATAATAATAATAACTACACAGCTCTCCGTTACGGATCACTACCATCTTACCTCTGTCTGCGTGGGTTCGAGTCCAAGATTCGGTGAATGTGGATAGATGAGAAAGCTTGCCAGTAGCTTCTCGTGGGTCGGTGGTTCCTTCAGCGGATTCCCCGGTTTCTTCATCCACCATTAATAGTGGCCGCCATGTATAGCCTATCGTGTGCTGAAAAATGGCGTTAAGCCCCAAAACAACAATAACAACAATAAGTTCACAAAGAACCACTAGAGTCGTTGCGTGAAAAGACCATTCCAAGACCTTAATTTGTGACCACGCATTAAAACCATAACCAGGTAATGCAGTATAAAGAGATCATCGATAAAATGCAAATAAATTAAAGAAATCGCGTTGTGACTAGACTTCTTGATGCATAATATTTGCCTCCAACACGTTTTGTCAGCAGGAGATCCTTCCTGCTGAGATATTGTTGTGTTATTATAACTTGAGGGAATAAATATTAAATCCTTTTCTTGCATTGCTCGAATCATTCAAGCTATTAAAGTGAAGTGATAAATCCTACAAACATATCTTTACAACACAAAAAAGCTCCCTAAAATGTATACTGATGTACCAATGACTTTAGTAAGGGTTTTAAGGAATAAAGTCTTTGGCATCTAATGTATTTGTGTGTGTGCGTATTTTCTTTAACAATTTTTCAGTAATATCACTACGATATCTGCACTGTGGCAGTTTAGAGTGATGTCTAACACCGGGGCATCATGCCGCAGACATGTAGCATCAAGTCCTATTATCCTGACACCAGATTGAACAGTCCCAGCACTAATCCTCTAATGCTGAGTGCCAAGCGAGGCAGCTATTAGTACCATTTTTATAAGTCTTTGGTATGACTCCACCAGGGATCGAACCCGCGAACTCCCGCAATAGATGCGGACGCTCTAACCACTAGGCCACAAGAGCAGTCTCATTTATATGCATGTAATTCATTAAAAATCTTTCTAATCACTGCAGCCTGATGGATTAACATGGAGACATTTGATTTTAGTTGTATATATACAATACTTACCAAAACCCCGTCTCCCCTTACCATGAAGACAAGCTGAATAACGTTCTGTATCGCAGTATAATCGTATGGGCCTATTTACTGTTTGTAACTTTACTGTATATAATAATTGTTGTAAATTGGACAAGAGTGTTATGAAGTATCTATCTTATACAATGAAGTTTGGCTTTATAAATATAGGAAATAAATATTTAGGAAAATATTTTTTTCTGATTGAACGATATCCCAATTAGGCGGTGTCGGTTTGGTATGCCAAGTTTCCGATGGGATCTCGCCACACAATACACTTTAAGGTGTTTGATCAAAGGCTAATAAAGATAAAATTATCATTAATGGCAAAATGTGAGCATTTCTAAAAAGTTTTATCTCTGGTTTTGTTGAACACTGTCACAACAACATCCTTGTCGGAATCTGCATTTGATAAAGTGACCTATTTTGCAATAAGATGTTTATCGCGATGTAGTTGTTGGTTTTGTTCGAATCGTTACAAAAATAGCATTATAAATTATTTATAATTAATATGAACCCTTAACAAAATATAGTGTTAGAGGTCTACGTTCTGAAGGCCTGCCATATGTCCAGGTCAGAGTTGATGTGGCTGTCTGGAGAATGTACTGGATACCTAGTGCCGTCTTAACATCATTGTAGGCTCTGGGCAAAGCAATGCACTCGGGCCTCCTACCGGCCAACTATTCATTAACAATATGGAAGCTTGATGCCCCTTGAAGCATGAGGCCCTGAACAACTTCCCAGTATGCCCAGACCTTAAGACGGCACTGCGGATACGTATACATGAGTAAAGAGTTCTTGAAACAGTGACGCGCTTATTTACGATATGCCTATGTAAAGAAGAAGTGCGTAGCACCTTAGGAGAAAACTCATCTGTCAAAATCTTGTAGAAACAACCAAAACTAAACTATAAAACGTTTATGGCAAATACTGTTTATTCTAGAAAACATGAAGACTAGGCTTCACTCTTTAGTACTATAGTTCGATCCGCACAGCATTTCGAATGATTTTCGTGTTTGTAGCTTAGTGAATTTGCAGGGTAACGTCACTAAAAGTATCTAAAAGTAACGAATTGGTTTCGCACAAATGATTTTAACACCGTTCAAATCGTCATACAGCGTAGCATTCATTTTGCACATGCTATAACAGTGTGATCCGTATGCATAAATTTGTATGTGCCGTCATGACCTGTGGAAGAGTCTATTTATGCATTAAAGGGTGATCAGCTTTCCTCTTTGGTTATATTCGACTATAATGTAACAGCCTGTCTTTGATTTTTTTGTAGTTAAAAAAAATGAATGCTCTCAGATCACACGAAAATGGCGAATTACTTGTAGACAGACTCCAGTCTTTTCAGCGTATATCGAATAAATGGTTGTTGCTCTGTATGTCAATATGAGTAATATTTAAATTATTCGTGCACGAAGCGAATTAGGTAATCTTTGCTATATTTTGAGACGCTGACGCGACAATTCAATGAAAATAGACTCGGATATCATCAGCGGTGATTTGCGGAAAGAACTATGGAGATTTTAATAGATCAATTGCGTAACATTAAGTATTAGGTAAATCAGATTGTTTTTGTTTGTTTTTATGCAGGGATGCGTGACATTCGTTGTAGAGCCATTAAGTGATAGCTGAATGATAAGTAAACCACTCATTAAGAACTGTTCCAATTGTTCAATATTCTTGTTATGAAAAGACCACTCCTCCCCTACAGAATCACTAGGTATGGTGTCATTTCAAATATGTTCGTTCATGTCATTAATGTGTTCTAGTCATTACGAACATGACAGAGGCAATTAATTATCGAGTCTTTACAACTGTTATCGTTAAAGAGTGGTATTGCGATTTTGTTTGTTTTACTAACGTATTTTGCAACAATGACTTGAAGTATACACATGAAAACATGACAAGAGATAAAACCTCTCTTACATTTTTGTGGATGTATTTGAGACACTAAATTAATATCGAATAGCCAAAGCTAAAAACAAACGCATATGCCCGAATTCTCATTAACATCGCTTATTTACTCGACTGTTTTGTCACATTATTGTTTTGTGAAAGAGTAGAAATCGAAATCAGTCTGATTGATTGGATAGCTTCTGTCTTTTTGATAATGCTCATATATGTTCCTATTTATTGTTAAACTTCCAGTTGACAAATGTTTTCAAAGCACACAGTATGGGAAATCAATAAATTAATATACATGTTACACTGGCTATGAGTATTAGATCATTCATGAACGAAAATATTTTTGACAGCATGCTTTATTACAGTCAGCTGTGAGAGAATATAATCTTTTATATAACGATATCTGATCTTGTCTTGTATTAATTAAATAGAGAATTAAATGATTGTACAAAATTCCACACATTTCCGGCATACTAAAATTCTGCATGCTAGATTTACGTTAGGATGCACTTCACTTAAAAATAATGATGTATAGGTAATCAAATCAAAATACCTACACAATTACTGAAACTGTAACTCACCGTGATCTTTCCTGTAGCACGTACATCATATTAAGAAATATTGTCGTACTCATTATATTGTCATATTGCATTATTAAAGAAAGTCCTCTACTGCCCAAAGAGTAAACTATAGTAATATTTCGAAGCAGTGCACAGATTCATGTTCGACTGTATTGCACTTTCAACTTAATTGTGTGTGTGTGTGTTTGAGAGAGAGAGAGAGAGGGAGAGAGAGAGAGAGAGAGAGAGAGAGAGAGAGAGAGAGAGAGAGAGAGAGAGAGAGAGAGAGAGAGAGAGAGAGAGGGAGAGAGAGAATTTGTAGGTGATATGGATTTTTATCGTAGCTTTAACAATTTTTCAGTCATACCGCGATGATGTCTGCAGAGTGGCAGTTTATAGTGATGTCTAGCACCGGGGCATCATGTCACATTTATGTAGCATCATGTCCCACCCAGTCATATTATCCTGATACCAAGCGAACCAGTCCTAACAATAACCTCTTACTGCTGAGCGGTAAACGAGACAGCTGCCAGTACCAATTTTTATGAGTCTTTGGTATGATTCGGTTGGGGTTCGAACCCGCGATCTCCCGCATCCGAAGCGGACGCTCTAACCACCAGGTCACCGGAGCTGTCTTCAGATTAATTAAATTGTACATTACAAAATTCGTACTATGAACACATTCTTGTTATCGGTTATATAATTGCTGTTTTTATTTGGGGCGATTAAAAGTATTTCATTTTGTCATTGATAACTAACACTCTGTTGCCATGTTTATCAGACAAGATGGAGGTCGTATTAGAATTTTCTAGAGACAATGGACTAGCCATGTTTTTCATTAATTGTATGGCTCTTCTATTTTTAAAAATGAATCTGTTGTATCCTACTTCTTTTTGTTCAGTTGCCTTATGTAAGCATCGAAATTTGACGTCTCATTAACAGCTCTTGATTCGTAAAGAACGACATTTCGTACTGGTTTGCGCGAACGACGCTGCGGCTGACACGCATATAATTCAGTCACGAGTATTGGCTGAATTTAGACTCAACACGCGCAAATCCAAAAGCATACACAAACTATAAAAAAGAAAATTTTCTCGAGTTTTTTTGGATGGAACAAAGAAAATATAATCAACAGATTTTTCTTGCAAAAATCCAGGACTAGAAGGTCAATGATTTCACGATCAGGAAGAGGATGAAGTTTTAATCTGTCACCATCTGAACGCCGTAATCATTTTTTTAAAAATGAATGCGGTCCGTCAGTTTACACTTCTAAAAGATTTGAATATATATTTGGCATCTTGTATACACTTTAATCAAGCTGTTTATGATACATCTCCACTTCAATGGAAAAACAGCTGGCCTGATATATTGCAAACTGATATCAAGTATTCACCTGAAAGAAATGGGAATATTACTTTCTTAACTGTTTGGTGTGGTGTGTAAGGACTCTTTTATGGACTGAAACCTACCTTACTTTAAAGCTTAACTGTTTGGTGTGGTGTGTAAGGACTCTTTTATGGACTGAAACCTACCTTACTTTAAAGCTTAACTGTTTGGTGTGGTGTGTAAGGACTCTTTTATGGACTGAAACCTACCTTACTTTAAAGCTTAACTGTATGGTGTGGAGTGTAAGGACTCTATTATGGACTGAAACCTACCTTACTTTAAAGCTTAACTGTTTGGTGTGGTGTGTAATGACTCTTTTATGGACTGAAACCTACCTTACTTTAAAGCTTAACTGTTTGGTGTGGTGTGTAAGGACTCTTTTATGGACTGAAACCTACCTTACTTTAAAGCTTAACTGTATGGTGTGGAGTGTAAGGACTCTATTATGGACTGAAACCTACCTTACTTTAAAGCTTAACTGTTTGGTGTGGTGTGTAAGGACTCTTTTATGGATAGAAACCTACCTTACTTTAAAGTTTAACTGTTTGGTGTGGTGTGTTAGGACTTTATTATGGACTGAAACCTACCTTACTTTAAAGCTTAACTTTTTTGGTGTCGTGTGTAAAAACTCTATCATGGACTGAAAACTACCTTACTTTAAAGCTTAACTGTATGGTGTGGAGTGTAAGTACTCTATTATGGACTGAAACCTACCTTACTTTAAAGCTTAACTGTATGGTGTGGAGTGTAAGGACTCTTTTATGGACTGAAACCTACCTTACTTTAAAGCTTAACTGTTTGGTGTGGTGTGTAAGGACTCTTTTATGGACTGAAACCTACCTTACTTTAAAGCCTAACAGCGAGGTGCCATAAGTCAAGTTCATGTCACTGATAATTTAACTCATGAATCTATGTAAAATGTTCGCCAATGAATGAATCAATGCTTGTATTTGGAGCTGATCGAAATTGTACATCCTTCATTAAGTTGACCAAAAATGATCGTGTTATGATCTGTATCCAACATTACAATTTGTCCAAACCAAATTTTCTTCCGCTCTTCAAACGACGGGTCCAGAAATATTGGGATGTTGGGTTGGGTTGGGATAAGTAAGCAAGCACGCTAGGATTTTGTTGAACACCTTAATGGGGTTATAAGAAAAGGAGCCTCAGGAACCATATTGAGAGTTTCTACTGTCTACTTTAGAGGAAACTTGCTCTGGGAAGCGTTTAGGTCATTTCACGCACAATTTTAGCGTGTGTTGGGGTGGGTTCGGTAGAGGCACGCACAGGCTCTGCATCTATGCGTTCATATGTTCTAGATCGTGATCGAAGTATTGTGCTATCGACCGATCGATCGCAAAAGTTGTGTGAGTATTATAGAAAAACAGTCGTCAGCCTATATATGTTTTGCATTTTTGTGGTAGGTATATCATTTTGGCTTGGTCATTTTATAAATAGCAAGCATGTTGGAAAATTGTGTGCACCCCTGCTCTAAAGTGTTGAAATCTGCATACCTTGTATTATATTTTGGACATTTGTTTTTTTATACTACATCTAAACATGGTACACATTTATACCCTATGCCATCTACATTGATGAGCAAATCCGTTCACATAACGTAATTTACATAAGTATGGAATCTACATATGTGTACAATTCCGTTCACATGATGATAATTTACACAAGTATGCAATATACATTGTTGTGTAAATCCGATCAAGTGACATAATTTACACAGGTATGCAATCTACACAGGTGTGCAAATCCGTTCACATTGCGTAATTTGCACAAATGCAAATCTACACAGGTGTGCAGATCTGTTCACATGATATAATGTACACATGTATGCAATTTACATTGGTGTGCAAATCCTTTCATGTGACATAATTTACACAGGTATGCAATCCACATTGGTGTGCAAATAGGTTGATATGGTGTAATTTACACAGGTATGCAGTCTACATTGGTGAGCAAATAGGTTGATATGGTGCAATTTACACATATATGCATTCTACATTGGTGTGCAAATAGGTTGATATGGTGTAATTTACACATGTATGCAGTCTACATTGGTGTGCAAATAGGTTGATATGGTGTAATTTACACATGTATGCAGTCTACATTGGTGTGCAAATAGGTTGGTATGGTGTAATTTACACAGGTCATTTGGCATCAAAGAAGTCAAGGTCGAGACATATTTATTGTAAAAAAAATCTCCGTGGCCAATGTTTTCTTTTTAATGAGTGAATGAGTAGTTTGTGTGTGAGAATCGCTTACATTACATATTACTAATCGTTAACTGAGTAGGTTTAAAGCGTATTGTAGCAATGTTCTTGAGATATTGTATTAACTCTTCTCCATGCCATAAAATAGTCACAGAAAACAGACTGACACTCAGGACTTGCAAACGCGACCGCAGAAAGTACTGATACATTATTTATTAAACTGCTGTTTTGTATTTTTTTTGTTTTTATCTGTTGGAATAATTATCCTTTTTGTTGAATGTTATTATGGCTTTTTGAATATATCACATTCATTTTTGTGAAATGTTATTATGTCTTTTGAATACATCACATTCATTTTTGTGAAATGTTATTATGTCTTTGAATACATCACATTCATTTTTGTGGAATGTTATTATGTCTTTGAATACATCATATTCATTCTTGAGAAATGTTATTATGTCTTTTGAATACATCACATTCATTTTTGTGGAATGTTATATCTATTTGAATACATAACAGTCATTTGTAGAATGTTATCATGTCTTTTATGCTATAACAAGTTATTCAGGTTCTTCCTTCTTAGATTGCAAACTGTCCTTATTAGACCATCCATAGTGTTTGACAGCAGCGTATTACCATTTGAAAAGGAAGATTTTAATGTTGCCGTACTAAATATCGAACATCCAAAACTATCACTGCATCCTATGCTGGTAATTTAATTTCGATAGCTATTGAATTAATGTAGCATTGGAGTGAATTGTGTATTATCGATCGACAGGCTTGAAATAAAGTAATACTACATAAATAGATAAAATGATGCTAATGTACCGTTAACATGAAAGATAACTTTTGATTGAAAATGCTTGTCGTCAACTATCGTGTCAAAAATTCTTTAGTAAATGATAACTGCAAATTTTCGATTGACGCCAACGATATAATATAGTTCTCTAGATGTAGATATAAAAAAACTGGGCCTTTTACATAATGCATGTCTGCTTGTGTGTGTTTGTGTGTGTGTGTGTTGTGTGTGTGCGTGTGTGTGAGACTTAGATTTGCAATTTAGCTTTAAGAATTTTTCAGTTATATCCCTACGATGTCTGCAGTCTGGCAGTTTATAGTGATGTCTAGCACTGGGGAATCATGCCGCAGACATTTAACATGATGTCCCACCTAGTCACGTTATATTGACACCAGGCCGACCAGTCCTAACACTAGCTTCTTGGTGCTGAGCGCCAAGCGAGGCAGCTGTTTGTACCATTTATAAGTCTTGGGTCTGGGTTCGAACTAGCGACCACCCGCATCCGAGACAGTCGCTCTGACCACTAGAACATCGGAGCGGTCTGTATGTCTGCTTAAAAATGTATACAATTGACTAAACACTTTGAGACAAAAGCGGCATGTTTAAGCCAATCGGAATTTACCCCATAAAGTCAATAAAGAATCATCGGATCTAATTCGCTGTCATTGAGAGCTTTATGGTGAACTGACTTTGTTAACAGGCATATTGAGGCGACTTTAGAGGCTAAGGCACAATCAGAACATTGTTTTTTCTATCGTAACAAATGTGAAGTACTTTGCTGGATGTCGAATTTGTGTAAATGAAGTAGTGTCTCCTCATGCGTTGTTCAACACTTCGTGAGCGCAGTTTAACTACATTTGTATCGTACAAAAATAAAAGATCAACAATGATTAGTTTCATTTACCTCCAGTCTTGCACGAGACACGACTCACCGGTGCCAAGTTATATCTTGAATTAATGATAATTTATGAAAATTTTAGTTTATGCACAACTTGATAAACTTGAGTTATTCTAGACACATATATTGCTGGTTTTATGCAATGGGGTTCTCTGATAATGACAACGGAAGGAGGAATTGGTGGTATGGTAATATGATGTAATGTCAATTATGGACATAGTACACAATTAATTTCACTATATATTCTCTACATTTGTTTCTCAGTACTGAACTTTCCACTGTGTGACAATCAATACAAATCATATGTTAATCTAAAATACCTT